AATATGTTGCTGTCAAATCAACAATAGAGAAGTAACCACGACTGTTCCAACACAACCCTGCCTCATTTATTTATTTTTATTTTTTATTATTTTTTTGCAAGCTGTCATTGTGTTAGCTACAACCCCAAATCCTTTTCAACCTATATTCAGGTATCAAAATCAAAATGAGTGAAAAAAAGTCTATCTATCCGTATGAACATTAATTATCTTGTTTTTGTAGTGCATTCAAATAAACATAGGTTGACAAGGATTTACAATTTATCTAATCTGTTTTTATTTATGTTTTACACAACATTTCTTCATTGAAATTTGGGTTGTATTAGGTAAATGCAACATCCTTATTTTTAATCACAGCTCTTCGTAGCAGTTTCATCCAAGTTTAGTGAAAGTTTTGCTTTTAGCAAAAAAAAAAGAAGAAAAAATGTAATTGAACTAAATATGTAATTTTGTCACACAAAAGACTAGTTTTGTCTGTTACCTATGAAATTAATATTATATTACATATACCAAGCCAACAGCCTTGGATTCTTTAAAATATACTTATCGTTTATTTGATCAAACTTTAAAACTAATGCACAGTCTCAACTGACATCACAGGATGTCATGTTCAAAGTTTGTGTTGGGATTTATTCTCAGCTACAACTGTATCAGGTTTTAGCCTAACATCTGAAAAATTGGTCAACATTTTTGTACTGACTAATGGAGATAGGCTGTTGAATCTATCTTGAACTGGACTGACTCCAAAAGTTAATTAGTTGTAAATGTATATCCATTGATTTAGTTTTGCAAGTTACAATAACATAAGCCCAATGATACATGAGATACTTTGAGAAAAGACGGATGGACATTTCAGTGGCAAACAACACTGTAGGACTCTCCAGATGAGTGTAGACCACTGTGGGCAATTAATGAATTTCAGCTGAAGTGCTTAAGCTGACTAAGGGGCAGTACTAGCCATGGGCCTTATAATGTACAAGTAAAGGTAATACTCATAAAGAATACTGTATGTAGTCACTTACCTGCAGGTCTTTCAGTAACAGTTAGGTGTACTGGCATCTGGAAGTCTCCTTTGACACAGTAATACCAACCACTGCTCTCTGCCCTCAGTTCACTCAGCRTCACAGTGAATCTGTTGTCACCTCTGTTGTTCAGGTTTACTTTTGTTCCATCTATTAATCCTGATCTTTCTGTYACACAGTTGCTGTTCATCTTACACCATTTCATCTCTCCAGAGGTGGTGTAGTAACAGTTTATGGTGATGTTTTCACCAAAAAATCCTGTCTCCTCCTGATTATCCACATACAGACTGGGTGTACCTTGATGGGGACAAAAGAATAACAAAAACAATTTGTATCCTTCACCTCTCTGAATTCTCACAGACTTTGCAGTGGTGGTAAAACAGCCTGGATTAGCTTCAAACAAAGTAATCAGTATTTTTGATCTGTGAGTTGTTTTATAGTCACAGTGAAGACTGATTGATGTTTATCATTAGAGATAGAGTACTTTCTTGCAYCACACTGTGAGTTTGTTTTAGCTGCAAATGAGCAGGAACTCCACCTAGATCCTTCACATAAATATTTCACATGATTTCTGTGTTGTTGGCTGTAAAAACAGGGGATTGAGACTGAAGCTCCAGCCTTCACTGATGCACTACTGATTGTATAAATGCAGTCAGTTTCTGTGAAAAAGCACATGTCTCACAGTGAGTGCCAAGGATAAAACATGAAATCAAACATTTGTAGATTTTTGCAAATAAAAATAATGACACCTTACATAGAAACAGCACAAAAAAATAAAATGCAAAAATATGATGAGCACAGTGAGACCAACCTGTTATCAATGAGAGAATGAGAGGAATGCTCAGAGGAACAGCCATAATGATGTGTGACCAGTTACAAGAAGAACTGAAGCACTGCAAAACTGACTCCCTACTTCCTGTTTTTACAACCGATGCCAAATGTAAGACGTCAACAGTGCATTTATTTTGTAAAAGACAACTCCTTAATTTGAATTTAAATTCCTGATTGAATTCTTGTTCACGTCTGTAAACACATGTTTACCTTCACAGAAACCTTTTAAAATTTTGCTTTGACCAATTTCATATATATTCTTGCCCTAAAAAGGAGAGGAAGAAGTGCAACATTATAACACAACATTTGAGACAAAGTAGTATTTCCTTTTGGTTTGAGAAACGTGTTTAGATGGTGCTTCCTATGACCTAACATTCAAACCAACATTTTTCAATTTACAAGAAGAACTGTTAGTCAGAGGTGTAGTAATTTTTTGTTACACAGTCAAGTAAATTTAAAGGATTTGGAATTTTACTAAGTATTTTTTAAATCATAACTCTTACTTTTATTTTGTTACATTCAGAAAAATACACTTTTACTTCTTAACTTACTATTTATCACCAAGTTGCAAATTTAAACAGTTGTGTATGCA